CAATTCTTTAATAATATAAAGGATAATTATATAAAGAAGAGGAAAGTTGTCTCGTTGGGGTGCTGCCAATGAGAAGTGCAACGTAGGAGCAAGATAATGGCTGAAATATCGTTTCACGAACACCTCTCCTTTACAACATACAAATAAACATTATGCATTTTGTTAACAAGGAATAATAAGGACAGCTTAACACTTGCCCTGTTGCCCAGGTCGCTTTTAAAATGGTATGATCTTGTTCACAACGTCTTCAAAATTGTGATACTGTCAGTTCGAAGTCTGCACCTGAAAATTTCATTCGACTTTCTCTTTTACGAATATTACATTTGTAATTCAAGAGTCTGAAACTGGATATAACAACTTTTATCACATTTGGTATCAGATATTACATTGATCTCCTTTCAGCAAAGCTATCATGCCATATCTGCTTGAGAAGTACGGAAAGAACGAGTCGCTCTACCCAAAGGACATCAAGCAGAGGGCAATAATCGACAGGGCCTTGATGTTCAATGCCATCACATTTACACCTAAGGTTTACGGAGTGGTAAGTTTGAAATAAGCTCTTCGTGTGCTGTGGGCAGGAAAACAGAAAGTTTCATTGGTCTTCGTCTTCTTATATCCCTAGTTTATATAATTATTTTCGTCGCCTACTAACGCTTTAAGTTGATAATTAATTATGAAACATGTTGAAGTGGTTCGCGGGAAAAATGTCCTGATACGTGCTTTTAAAAAAATCATCAAGAATTCATTTTTTGTTTAAGTTAACTGCACCTTTATTCTTCACCTCTCCCTTTCAGTTGCTACCAAGACTGGCTAAAAACGAGGTTTCTGAGGAGGCAGAGAAGGAGTTTAAAGAAAAAGCAATGGACAAACTCAATCGGGACCTGGAAGGAAAACAGTTCATCGCGGGAGACAACCTCACGATCGCCGACTTTGCTTTCTGGGGGCTGATCACTCTATTAGGGCTCTTTGATATTGATACAAGTCCTTGGAGTAACATATGCTCTTGGGCAGAGCGCATGAAGGCGTTACCTTATTATGAAGAGTGCCATAAAGAGCTCTTTGAATTCTGGGAAGAAATGAAAAAGGTGGAATCTTAAATGACTTGACACAAAGAACTAGCAAAGTACATGTACCACGAGAGTGACGATGGAGCATGAACAAGGAACAACTGAAAGAACCATTTTGTTATATTTAAAAAGGACTAAAAATTACTCTTTTCAAGAGGAAAGTGTGCTTCCTTCAAGATCTGCATCGTCCTGTAAACATGTTATCTGTGATCAGACTGATATCTTATATGCGATGCTAAACCTTAAAAAGACTCATTTTGTATTCTCGAGGATATATTCTTTAATATATGTGCGTAGTTTTTCTAGTTGTATCAATGAAAATAAAGTATACAAACCCTTAAAGTTCCTATGTTCTTACTCCTTACAATTTGAAAAAAAAATTCTGTCAATGACGATGGAAATGAAGTAGGTGGAAATGAAAATGATACTTCCGAACGGATTTACGTGCCTCGTATTCAATATCCCCCCTGCATTACAAAATCGTTGTTTCCCAATGAATAGATCATCGTTTCTTCCAAGAATTCACGACTTACTCTTCAAAAAGAAGTTAGTGGGCTGCCATTAACATCAAATCCACTTCCAAAACGACAGAGAGAGATTTAAAAAGTAAAATATGAATAAAACTGCAATACTTTAAATAATGTTGCAAAGTAAAAATAGCAGAAAATGAACAAATAAAAATTTAAAAAATCGGTTATCTTGTAAAAAACGCTCGGCTGTGTATAGTCAAGGTTTTTATTTCTTTGGCAAAATCGAATTTCTTATTGAGGATACTGGTGCCGAAATAAAAAAATGAGAACAGTAGTCCAGCCACCTTTACCCCTTTTAAGAGGAGGATTGGTACCGCCTTGGTAACATCCTGAGTTAATCCAAAGACACACAACGACTGTCGCCTGAACACACATTTCCAACAAATAGACCACCTCTCAATGTAAGCATGGTGCGAGGCAGTAGAGTTCACAACAAAACATAGTTGTTAGGGCAATTGCAAAACAATGATTAGACAGAATTGATCTTAAGACAAGCGGCATTTGCATTTTTAGATTTCAACGAACGCGACTCTTCATCTTTAGCGATATTTTCGATATGGGGTGTAACAACAGCAAAGGGACCACGGCGTCGGATCCCAAGACAACACCTGCCCCAAGGAAAGACACCAAACCGGCTCCTGCAGCCACGCCTGCTCAGTCTCAAGATGCTCCTCAGAAGACCGAAAATACCGAGAAAACTGAAGACACCCAGCAAACGAAACCTGCGGCAGAGGATGATACCGTCGCCAAAGTCGAAGAATGTGAAGGGGAGGTCTACGACCCTAACTGCCCAGTCCTATATATCAATAAGGTCGACCCGCAATCTATTGCTTGCATGATGCTGCTTAGCGAGGCAGGAATCAAGGTTAACATAAAACATGTTGACCTTTTCAAAGACGAACACAAACAGGACTATTTTCTTAATGTGAGTGTCCAGTGTCTGTATGTCCAGTAACTGCGCAACAAGATGTAAATGATATTGGAGCCTTTTTTAAATGTCAGCTCCATAAAACAGTGATACTTTAAAATTTAGAATGTAGTTAGTACTTGATATATTCAAACTAGAGATTAGGATGTTATATGCTACGATTTTTCTTTCTAGTTTTTATGTTAATTTGTCGAGATGAGCGTTTTTAACAATGGTGCTTTAACTAACCACTCATAGGCAAATATATACGCCTTAATTATCACTACGATGATATTACACGAAAAAGGTACCAAATATATACACGTTGTTATAGCCCTGTGGTATTTTTTCAAGTATAATTTATATTTTCATATCTTCATTTGTTTTTTAGATAAATCCTGAACACTGTGTCCCTACTTTGGTGGATGGTGATTTTGTCCTTTGGGAAAGGTAAATATATGTATAATGGTGTGGAACTCTTCATGTCTGTGAGCTCATTACCATCAGTATATTAAAGCATAAAACACAAAACAGGGGGTAATCATCTAAGTTTTAGTCATAAAACTATGTCATAGTTTAAGTTATGTTTTATTTTATTATATTTATTTTATTTTATTTTTTATTTTTTACCACTGCAGCCACCAATAAAAGAAATAGATAATTGAAAAAATATATAATGAAGTTAAATTATTGAAAAATACTCCAAAAATTTCAATTTGTAGGCCTATCCTAAATACAAGGATCACGTTCCCCATTTCTTCCATTCAAGTCACAGGCTTTGAAAGTGCATAGATACATTGTGGTGAACACGCACGCTTAGTATGCATTATTCATATAAACAAATAAGAACTCAAAACATTCCAATATTGCGGACCATTCAGACCCGTTTTTTTATTTGCGCGATCAAATTTCTTCGAAGGAACCATGAATGTCAACCAAATTAGACGTTTGAAAAGAGTAGGCCTACATCTGTGCATGTATCAGTTTGCAAACGAGAATCAAATCAATTTGGATGGTTTTTTTTTTCTTCTCCATTAGTTACTGCCTTCATACAAAATTACTTAATCGACACACACACACACACACACACACACGCGTATATTCACACAATATTCATTAAGTGACATCTATTCCAGTCGCCCGTTGATGAAATATCTGTGCCAGAAGTACGTCCCAGAGAGCAGTTTTTACCCCTCTGATATAAAGCAACGCGCTCTGGTGGATCGTCTAATGTACTGGGAAGCCAGCACTCTATGTACGGCAGTGCTCGATTATGCGGTAGGTATATTTTGTGCTTGTTGAACTTAATTCATTCATTCATTTAAAAAAAGACACAGGGAAAAGTGATGATAGATTTACAAAATTAAAGAATGTCCATTTTGGCAATTTTTGCACATTCGTCTCAATGTATTAATATGTTATTCTTTCCACTATTCAATAATTCGGTGTATTGAAAAAAAAGCTCACTTTTTTTCTTATTATTAGAATCTTAATGTGTCAGGTATGTTTTACTAGAAATGCAAAAAAAAAAAAAAAATACTCATTTTGCCAAAGATCAATATGATTAAGTGTTATATTACCTACATTTATTCAATAAATATAGTAACAGATTTTAAAGTATTTCAAAGCATCTGTTTATCTTTTCATTAAAATAGGCATATGCAGCATTTCTCGGCAAAGCTATCGATTCTGAGAAGGAACCAAAGGTTAAAGAAGCACTGGATTACTTAGATAAACATCTCAGCGACAAGTCTTACGTCTGTGGTGACACCATGACACTTGTAGACTTGAGCATAATTAATACTTTGGCTCTTCTTTGGTATATCGACTATAAAATTGACAGTTGGAGCAACGTTGTTCAGTGGGTAAAGAGGGTAGAAAAAATTGAATGTTTCGAGAAAGTTAACGCCGCAGTGGCAGATTATAAGAAAACGCTAGAGAACAAGGCTCAGTAAAACAGGCTGATGGACTTCATTTTTTAACCGTCTTCCTATCAATGTTCACGGATTTCAAAGAAATCAGACCATTCGCATTCTTCTTTAATCCCCATGTTAGTTCAACCGATACATACAGTCTGCAAATGAATCTGAAGCACATTGTTCGATGACCATGACCCTTCATAAAACTAATTGGTCGTATGTACAAGATCAAACTTCTGAAGACACGCACAAGCTACTTCTTCGTAGAACACACAATCTGGTTTCTGTTTTGTATTTGCTCAAAGAAATGACTGGACTGCAACATATGACACAAGGAGAATCTGTGGAGTACAAAACATTCTGTATATAACTGTATTTAATCAAGAGCTGTTAGGGACTTTAAGAAAGGACTTTTGTAAATGTCTTATTGTTGCCTGTGATACCGTACGCTACTTTTAAGCTGCTGTGTGGATATATTTTACTTTATACCTTACTTCTGAATGATATTTTTCTTACATTTTGTGAACTGCTTGTAAAGGAAAGAAAATTCCTGAATATATTTACATACTATTTATTAATAAGTAAAAGGTAATAATGTATATGAACAGAGAAAAAATATAATTTAAGTCAATTTCAGGATTTTTTTACACAGCTCAAACTAATATGGATTTTATAATACCTCGTACAAATTAGGAAATTATTCTCAACATTAAATAAAATGACACAAAAACAAATATCACTGTTGTATTCATTGTTGTTATATTACCTACATTTATTCAATAAACATAGTAACAGATTCAAAGTTATGCATCAGTGAATGCAACACAGTGCAATGAAGCATCATTCAAGTTTACTGGGCAAGCGCAGCAAAAATAAATATAAACAAAAAAATAAAAATTATACCCCTATAGCTTATTACAGTTAACATGTTATTGTGGGGAACCTACACAGAAATGTAATCATATTGCAACAAGTACTTACATAACAACAAATGTACAACAGCACAGTTTGGGAAAACAATTTCACTGCCTTATAAAAAGCATAAAATTTGGGTTAACTTTTTACTTCCTCCAAAGAACCCCATGTCCACATTTATAAATACAACTTTCAGTAGACTAGGCTTTGTAATATTCCCTGATAATCTGACTGGTCTCCACTACCAGTACTTACCCATGACTGACTACTCATGAACAGAGAAATTGCACATGACTATAAATGAGCTCTGTATGATCCTCATAACAGTATAATTAATTACAACAGACACCTATTAAAAATATAACATTTTTAGTCTTTGTGATTATGAATATCTGTTGCTTTCTACTGATGGAAAATCCCTCTAAGTGGTTCCATTTCCATACAAATTAAAACATTTCTGAACTACTATTATGACTTAATACATACATTGTTAACATATTATTATCTCAAGTTCTATTACTTCCATAAAGCTCCTATATCCTTGTCATGCAAGTCTGCACAATCAATATTCATAAATTCATTGACTATGATATCAAAGCTTTTTCTCTATCAGTGTCTCAAGTCTGCAACAACAATGTGCTGGTCTTCAACTATTTGGACATGACTGGATTGCTGAAAGTATACACAATATTACCACTTGGATGGAAGTTACATTTAGGGAAAGAATAGATTGGTGTAAAAGCAAAACTTTGCATTACAAACATTATGCTTTTTCCAGCAAAGCAATAAATAAATATAATTTGTATTCACATGCACATTAATAAAAAAACAAACAGAGGTCATTATCATTAACTGAGATGAAGCAGGACTAAAAAACAGTGATATTCTCGCCATGAAAAAACAAAGTGAAACATACTAATATATATTAGACATGTAGTCAATATATAGTGCTTTTATCTAGAAAAGGGTGTACCTCATAAAGGGGAGGTTCCTCAGGGTGTTTATGAAACCCCTTCTGCCTGCAGTTGGCCACATAATCCAAACCATAGTCTGGGGTCAACAGGAAAAAGCCAGTCCTGAAAAATATATCATAATGCTTGTTACAAGAACCAAGAACAGTGATAATACCAACTACAATCCAGGCCTACAGCTTGCAGAATCAACTATTTTAGTAACTTTTTCCAACCTGAAAGCAGCTAAAGAGCATAAACTCTCTCTCTCTCTCTCTCTCTGAGAACACAATAAACACTTCACTAACGTGTGCAAGATCATACTTGGTGTAGAAAAACAACAATGACATCACTTACTCTTGATATTTAGGAGAGATGACTATAGCAATGGCTTCTGGCATCATCATCTGATATCCTGCATGGGTGTGCAAATCCACACTGGACATAAATGCTGTCTGAGATGGATGGGTCTGGAATACCAACATTTGAAATACATTACACTCGGCATAGCTTATTCCACAACTCATAACATGAATTATCTGAAACAATTCTTATGAATTGGATTTCCTTTTTGATATAAGGTGAAATAAATATGGACATAACCTATGCCACATTTTTGCATAACATGAATGAATTCCCCAATTATGTGAAGAAAACTGTTGACATTGTGCATCAGTATATACATATCTGCAAATATTGATAAACCATCAGGCAGTGCAAAAAAATGGTCTGATGCACTTTCATATAAAAACATTACAAAAATTGCAGTCTTTTCACTGAGACAGAGTAAAACCTACATAAATCTTATCGAGCATTAAATAATCATGATCATTTCATGACCCAGCAGGTGCTTACACAATTAACTTTAATTAGGCCACACTTTTTTATTTTTATGGATGACATCCTCTGGGTACCCCAAAATCGGTGCGAG